GGGACTTCAGAGGAGAGCACAGGGATGGGGCAATGGGAAGAAGGTGCCATCCCTCACGTGGTGTGTCCTGGCCACCAGCACCATGGCCCCATGGAGCCACCACCCCTCTCTGCCCACCAGCCCAGGGCTCCCCCAGCTCGGGCCAACCCTAGGGAGAAGCCACCAATGGAGGCTCTTCTGCAAATATATATTAATACTTGAAATTTATCTCATTTTCAGGCAGGGAAGGAGGAAACACTGCTCAAGTTTTAACTGGGATGCCTAATGAAGATTTATTCTGGTCCTGTAAATCAAAAGCACATGGGAATAGCCTCTCTTCCTCAGATTAACTGGGTTATTTTTTTCATGACCACTAGACCTTAGATCTGCTCCTCATGTCTTTCCATGCCCACGGAGGGCAAGAAATGGCCATACTTGGTCAATGAGAAAATAAAGTAAAATGCAAACAGACACGTGATAACTAAATCCAAGTTTCCCAAAGCTATTATTTCCCTGAAGGCAGAGTCCCCGGGTGAAGGAGTGGCAAGCAGCAGGAGTTGGGGCTGGCCAGGCAGGATGGCCAACAGGCCCAAACCATGAGGAGACACCATCCAACATGGATAGTGTCGTTGGGCTGGTTGCATCTCCTAGAGAAATTGGGTCAAAATGCCTGCTAATATTTCATTTGAAGGAGTAACAGATGGTATTTCCTTCATCAAGTGATTTTTTTTCCTACATTCCTTATTTTTGACTTGGTTTGCACCTACAAAGCAAATTCCCAGGGCAACCGGCAAAGGCGTTGACTTTGTGGATGGAGCTGCTCTGTAATGACCACACCAGCACGAAACCCAGCAGACACCTACCAGCGTGTGGACCCATCCTGCATTGAAAGGACACCAAGGCTGCCAAGCAGTGAGCTCCAAATGCTGAAACAAGCCCCGAAGAAGCTTTGCTCTTTGGCTGCCCATGGTGGGGCAGGTGTCTGGCCCCACCACCTCCCCCAGGGAGAGCCAGAAGCATTACAGGACATATCACATATGGAATATAGAATGGTTAGGGTTGGAAGGGACCTTAAAGATCATCCAGATGATGCGACATGATTCCAGAAGCCCTGTCAGATTGTCCTTTGGTGGCAGCAAAGGAATTAGAAAGGGCGGAGGGGGGATTAAATTGAGTGCTCAGAGCCAACGCTGGGAAACATCACTGCAAAGACGTGGCCAAGGACTTTAAAAAAAAATGTGTCCAGCTTTCCTATTCTAGTCTTATTTGGTCTTGTCTGCACGTTCATGTGCACAGGAGGGCAGGCTGGCCATTCTGAGGAGCCACAGGGCAAAAATGCAGCCCATCTCGTTACCCCCCCCTCAAAACAGCCCCACACAACATGAAATTACCGTGAGGGGAGAAACCAAAACCCTCGTGGCTCCATCCAACTCCTCCAGTAAGACTATTTTCCAAACTGTAACACACCAGTTGTTCAGCTTTGCAAACCACTGTAAAAGCAGCAGCAAGTCGCAGGTAGGAAGCCAGCCAGAAGCACCCAGTAATTTAAGACTGAGGTAACACGTATTTTAAGCACTAAAAGGTGACTCTAAGGAGGATGTGTAACAGGAGTTTGCCTGTACCTGCAGCACCCACCTCTGGTTTGGCCGTGGCCAGATGTAAGGGCTCGGAGCAACCACCCCTACAACAGAGGGCTTCGAACAGTGCAGATGAGGCTCAGAAATAAAGCAGAGAGGAAAAAACACCAAACAAACCCCCGTGGAGGAGTCGGTTATGGGCAGTGCTACACCCCACGCCGGAGCCTGCACAGGTATGAGCCGCAGAGGCACAGAGCAAGGTGCTTCTCTAAAAGGATTTTAAAAACCGTGATCTGAAACCCGTTGTTTTTCACAACCACACAACTGAGTTTGGAAACTTCCCCCACCCCAGCTGAAGCCTGTGTCCACGCTACAAACACAGCGCTTTCTGGTTCTTGTTTTGCCACGTTTTCTGCAAGGGCAGGGTAAAGAAAGCCAGTGCTTATTTAGAGACAGATCCCCCTCCCCGGGGCTGCGGTGGCCCCTCCAGCCCCGGTCCCCAGCGCTGTGACAGCTCCTGGCATGGGACAGCCGTCCTGCTGACTCACCCAGTACAACTCCCGCCCAGAGCAAAGTTTTTCCATAAAAATAAAAACCAGCCCTACTAAATAAACGCATTCCCATAGTAAAATCCCGACTGGTGGCTGGGAAGGAAGGGCCTTCACCCTCCAGCACCACCATCTCTCTCCAGCACCACCATCTCCCTCCCGGGTGGGGAAGGAGGACCAGGCTGAAGGGAAGGCAAGTGTGAATGGGACGGAGTTGTCCCCGGGAGGGGTGATGGCAGGGAGGTGGGGAGACATTGTCCCCAGCGTGGCCATGGGCACAAGGCTGGGGAAGAAGCCACACACTCACCAGGAGGACTGAGGAACCGGCTGGGCTCCCCGGGGAGCAGACCTGGGGGATCCACCACCATTCCGATGGGGAGCAGAGAGGCTTCTGTAAACAAAAGCTCAACCAAACGGCTTTGCTCTCACAGGCAAAGCTCACGATTTTTAGCATTGCACATTTAAAGGCAACCTTCGAATGTGTCACTGCTCATCACAGCTAAAGGAAAACAAGGAACCCCCCAGCCTCGCAGCCCTCACCGTGTGAGCTCCAACAAGTCTCCCTCTGCGATAACGGGAGCTGTTTCCACAACAGCATCACTTCTTAGCTTCATAAGAAGCAAGAACATCAACAAAATGGGCCAACTCCTTTCCCTGCCATTTCCCAAAGCCCTTTTGTGGCGGGTGAGCAGTTGTGTCCCTGCTCCTGTGCGGTCAGCAGCCACCGTGCCAGTGTCACTGGGGACACCCCATCTGGGCTCCCCCGGGGCTTAGAGGATGAGGTGGAAGCAGCAAATCCAGCTGTGGGGAGGAGACAACCCCTGGGTAAGCAGGCACAGAGGGGCTGAAGGGACAGCTACACGTGCTGCTTAAAAAGAGTAACATGAAGTCAGACGCTTCAGTTCTCATTGAGAGAGTGGATTAAAGATATTTGATTTACATATCTGAGGTTATAGAGAAGAAAATATGCACCTCGTGGTTCCTATGGAACCTGCTCTGGGTGGACCTGCTCTGGCAGGGGGTTGGACAAGATGATCTCCAGAGGTCCCTTCCAAACCTTCCAAACCAGTGGGTTTGAGGAAAAGCACCAAAAGCCACAAACCCCATGAGAGCTGTGGGAGCTCCCCTGCTGCTCACTACTGTCCTGTGCAAAACTGCAAAGGCCCCCGAACCAGTGGCAAGGAAATGGTTTCATTGCTGCTCTGCTCAAGTAATCCTTGAGCAACAGGAAGATGCCTTCATTCCTCAAAGCCCCACGTGGCTTTAACTGATTCATTCTGCTGAAGTTCTTTACGATTTCCTTTAAAAGAGAAATTATTAGGACGAAGCAACTCTTGAAATCTGAAAAACTGCAAGTTGGGCAAACAATTCCTTTAAGGTCACAGCAAGACTCGGGCTGACAAACCTTGCTGTATTGTAAGTCACATCATTTTTTTTATCCCTTGAAGGACAAATAAACTCTAAACATCCTGTTGGGGGAACGGTATGTGACCGGCCTCCAGAGCTCCCACCGACAGTGTGGGCACGAGATGTCGACGCATCTTCCCCCGGTACGTCACACACCACGCACACCCGGCACGGGGAGGTGTCCTACCTGTTGGGTGCTCTGTGCCACCACCACCACACTCCTTGTGGGCACGTTCTCGGGGCAGGCAGACCCCCAGGGACCCTCAGGGCCGAGCCGAGCCCCATGCCCCGCTCCCGGTGCCCAGGCCGGGCTGGCTGGGTGCCCATGCAGCTCCGGGATTTGGCGGCAGTGATGGAGAGGGGAGAGGCAGAGCGGATGGATGGCAGCCAGAGCCCGTCCTCTGTTCACCCGCAGGCAGCAGCATCTGGACTTACCTTCCTGCCCCCCCAAATGGCCACAGGCAGGGGCTCACACCCCCCGAGACCCTCCAAACCACAACCCCTGCCACCAACCAACCCAACAGCAACCAGTTTCACCATCTCTACCAGTGCCCACCCTGGCACTCAGCCATCTCCAGCCCTTATCAATCCCTCCGCCCATAGCCAAAAGCAAAAATCTCTCTGTCTGTTCTCAAGAGACCGGGGGTTTCTATGGTTGAGTGGGAACTGGAAGTGTTGGGAGCCTGTGGGAGGACCGGAGGGTGGGAAGGAAGGTCTCCCTTCATCACGAAGGTCGCCGCGTTCGGCGGGGCCGTAAAGGGCTGTGGAGGGAGCAGAATTCCTCCTGCGGATCCGCAGGGATGGAGGGGCGTGCCGAGGAGCCCGGGGGGAAAAATTGGCTTTGGCTTGTAAGGACTGCGATGGGTCTTGAAGATCTGAGCGGATCTTCACATGCAGGAGGAGGGGAGGTTCTGTGGGAAAATGCTATCGGGCCCGGCAGAGCCGCGGCAGGAAGGAAATTCCCCCAGCAGAGCCGGCCATCGGCGCGAGGGCTCAGCTGTGTCAAGTTCAGGGGACTTCATAAATAACTCGGCCCTCCCCAGGGAGTCATTGCTAAGGTCGCTATTTTTTCCCTTGAACTTTCCAGATGAAGGAAGCAATAGCAGGAGCAATGGCACAGATTTGGCCGGAGATCAACTGTACTGACAACACTCCCAGAATTTAACTCAGAAGAAAAGTCCTTTGTGTTTTGCCGGAGTTATCACCAGATGGGTCGGGCAGTTCATGCAGCGACACGAAGCTCTGCCCCAGAAACACTCCACACGGGCAGGATAATCAGAGCCGAAACCCGTCGGCACATACAACCCCCAGTAACGAATTCCACCGCTTAGACAGAGTTAAAAATGCAGGGCACAAGCTAGGCACCCATTAAAAATTAAAACATTAAATCATATTCCTCAACAAACTGCTGGGATCCAGAGTAAGAAACAGCCCTGTTTAAAGATTAAGGAGGGAGAGCCTATAAAACACTAATTACCGCTGTACTTACAGTGAATTTGGCCTGTTGGGTTTAATTACTTCTAGCTCAAGATCACTGGAGTTGAGGCTGGGCTGGGGAGCGCTGTTGGAGTTGAGGAAGCTGTTTACGTTTGAGGAGATGACGGATTCCAGGCTGGAGTTGATGAGACTGTTCCTGTTCTCCTCTGAAAAAACAGCAAAGACCAAGAACCATCAGCCACCGCTCACAGCCACCGACACGGCAAAGCAAAGAGCACACCGCTGCAATCGGGCGCTCCTGATAATAATATTATTTGCCAAATGACAATATTTGCCCTAATGCAAATAGGGCAGGCTCTCACCAGCCCCCAGAAGACAGGCGGTTTGTTTGCAGTCATGTTTTCTAGATATCATACATTAAACTGTAAGAAATACCAAGCACTCTCCCTATTTTTTCTTAGGACGCAGCTACATTTTAAATGAACACCATTTTTAGTAAGAAAATAATTCTTTTTCTCAAGGCATTAACAATTTATATTCCCAAAGACATCCCAAGTACCACACAACCTGAAAAAAAAATTAAAATGCAAATGAAGTGCAGGAATGGATTTCTCTGTGAGCGAAACCAGCTGCCAGGGGAGCGTGCCTGCGTGTGACAGAGCAGGGGCGGGTTTTGGGACAAGAAAAGGACAGCTCAGCTAAGGTTTATCTCAGCAGAAAAAAACACTTCAGCCCAGGATTTGACATCAACTGCCATCACTCCTTCTGGGCAGAGCAGCTCTGGGTGGGAAACCTGGTGCTACATCTGCTCTGAAACAGTGCCCGGTGCCCACTGAGGTGCCCTCCCTGCGCCAGGGAAGGCTCTGCTGGCAACCTGGAGGCTCCTCAGAGCTTCTCCTTTCCCACCATCATATCCTGCCAAGAGATTCATTCCCCTCTTATTTATGTAACTTCAGCAGCGAGGAGTGAAAATATTATGCATCCCAAACCGACATCCGCAGCGTGAGCTCCCTCCTCAGCTCCACGCCAAATTACCTAAAATCACATTAATTCATTTTCCTAAGATGCCTTTTCCGTATAAGCAGTAATTGTAATTGTGAGAAGCAATTATCATCACTGATGGCACGGAAAGCAGCCCCGTTGCAGAGAACTGCTACTTCTGTGATGATGCTTTCCTGAAAGACAGGCACCTGCTGGAAAACATAATGAGTCCTACTTTAGTGATAAATCTTTCAAAGAAATTATTTTTCCAGTGCACACTAATATGATCAAATTACTACCAAAAAGCACATAGTGATGGGGAATCCCTTATCCTCAATCCCTTTGAATTGTACACCTCTGCTTGCGTTAGAAGCAGAACATGTAATACTCATCTGTGTCCTGCACACATTTAAAGAAGGATAAAAGAGACCAAGAGGAGCTCCGGGGACATTCTGCTCCTCGACTCCGCTCTGGGGACACCACCCCAGTGCTGCCTCCAGCTCTGGGGCCACCATCATCAGAAGGACATGGACCTGTTGGAGTGGGGCCAGAGGAGGCCCCAGAGATGCTGGGAGGGCTGAAGCCCCTCTGCTGGGAGGGGGGGCCGAGCTGTGGGGAAGAACTTGTTTGGTGTGAGGGTGGTGAGAGCCTGGCCCAGGTTGGCCAGAGAAGCTGTGGCTGCCCCATCCCTGGAGGGGTTCAAGGGCAGGTTGGAGGGGGCTTGGAGCAACCTGGACTGGTGGGAGGTGTCCCTGCCCAGGGCAGGGGGTGGCACTGGATGATCTTTAAGGTCCCTTCAACCCAAACCATTCTACGACTCTATGATTGATCTCCAAGAAGCCACCCAGGGAAGGAGCAGCGCATACACTTCTCTGTCCCCTCCTCTCTTCCTCCAACGTACCAAGCTGGACGTTTTGCCCAGCCCTGGTTTCCAAGTCCCCACCATCTGACATGGCAAAGGGAACCCACAAAGGATCTCCTCAGCTTTGAGCCACCCGGTGCCTCACACCCCCCACAAGCTCTGCTTCCCCTACGCCAGGTCAGGGCAGTTCCTATAGAAGAGTGATTTCCCCAGAGAGGCAGGGTCTCCGACAAGAAGCTGTGAGCTCACGACAGCCCACCTGGGACTCAGAGAGCATAAGCACTTCGTAATGAAAAAGATTATCCAGGGCGAAGGCAAGAGGGAAAAAGCAAAGCAAAGCAGAGCCCTGACCCCCACGGCTATCGACAGGCAGAAGCAGGAGCCAGCAGATGAAATACAAGAGAAATTAAGCTCCCAATGGACCTAAAAACCCCAAAAGGCCAATCCAAAGGACTCCTTCATTCTTCCATCTGCCAGTACAGGTTCAGCAGTGCCGTGGGAGACCCCCTCCGTGGTGTATGGGGGTGGGAGAGCCCACGCTGAGCCCCCCGTACCCACGGCTGTGGGGCGCAGGGAGCCGAGCCGAGGGACTGAGATCTAACACTGGGGCTGATTATTTCCAAACATTTTCTGCCCAAGGCCGAAGTCCGAAAATAAGCTCGGTAAGCCTAAGAAATCAGTGTCAATTGTCTGCCTAATCTCCGAGCGAGCTGCCAGCCAATATTGAATTAAAGTCCCTATCAGCCAAGAAACTGGAAGTGTTTCATCTAAAGAGGAAGGGAGATGAATGGCTGAATCTGAAACTCCTGCTTTATTTTATTTCCTCCTTTTTAAAAGGCTGATATTGTATTTTGCTTTGTGTTTTCAAAAGCTGATGTGAAGGATTCTTGGCTGTGGCAGTAAGTCGGGCAGAGCAGTGGGAGCCTCCCCGAAGCCTCTGGCGTCTGGGGGCTCCCCCCCAGCAAACCCCACACCGTCCCAACCAACGCTCTCTGCACGACAAAATATGAGCAAAGTGCCCAAAACTGCTTAAGATGAAGAACTGATTAGGAACAAAACGGTGTGTTGGCTGTGCCCATGACTTGTTTCACAACATCCACTCAGCTCCTGGGTCAGTTGTGGACAAAACTGTGAATCTTTAACAACGAAATAATCACTATAATTATCTAATCTCTTGCCTAATCCTGTCTGTTGAACATTGCAATTTTTGACTTACACACAGCTTCGTATGATGAATTTTAGTGAAAATTTTAGAAGGATATTTGTCTTCGATAACCAGATTTCAAGTAATGGAAAATTCACTCTCCCACTTAACTTCTTTTTCTGGTTAAATTGCCCTCGATCTTAAAAAATGTGCACTTGTTTCCATTTTGAAGGTGTCTAGCTTCAATTTCCAGCTGTTAGATCCTACTGTGTCCTTGTTTCGTAGCCAGATGACTCCTGCAGGATGCCTTCCCTCTTCCCGCTGGGCTGGGGGCTCCTCTGGGCCACCTCTACCTCTCCCAATCCCTATTTTCAGCCACGAGCACCAAAGTGAGCACCTACCCCGGGGCTCCCCATCCCTGAGAGAGTCACCAGCAGAGGAGAGAGGTGCTCCCACAGAACTGCTCCTGTGTCACAGCAGAGACATTTCCGTGTCACAGCTCAGGACACGATGCAGACGTGGTGCTCGAGCTGCTGCCCAAGCCCTCGTCCTTCCCCCAGACCAGTAGGAAAGGAAACCCCACATTATTCTTCAACTGGCACGTGCACAGGGAGGGCAAACACCGAATGAAACGGTGGTGGCTTCACACAGACACAGGGGATTGTCGGGAGGAACACTGAGAAAACGTTCCTTCATCTGGGAATAAACAAGTGCAGAAATAAATAAATGAACTGGGTTCCTCTTCCAGGCAAGAGCAGGATGGTACCTGAGGGCTCCGGCAGCCGGGTGACCCCGGAGTCTAACGAGCAGCTGCTTAGTTAGCAGCAAATAAATGACTTGAGCTGAAACTTTTCAAAAAGCAGCTTTTGATATTTGAGGCTCCAGCGAGGGTGGAGTGAGAGACTATTTCCAGAGCACGCTTTGGTGCTCCCCCTGCTTCCTCAAACCCACGTGTATCGCCATGACATCCTCCCAAATGAGAGTGCCTGGTAATTAACAGTAACTCAATCAGAGGCCGAGGAGCCCACGTGTTTTGAGAGTCAGCAAAGCACACGGCCAGCGCTCCATCCACCCGCGGACGGGATCCCTCCAGCCTCGTCTGCTCCTCGCCCCCCGAGTCACCTGCTCTTCTCACCAGGTCACTCTCCCACTTTTTTGAGCGAACTGGGACAGTTTGGGCCACTGGCCAGTGCCAGGAACAGGCTGGGGAGGGCACGGCCAGCAGGAAGGGGAGAGCTGGGGACCGGGCTGACGCTGTAACGTGAAGCAACAGCCCCAGCAGAGACATTTCTGCCGCCCGGGGAGCAGGGATGGGGCTCTGACCCTCCCACCGAAATGTCTGGAAAAGCAATTAGTGACAGAGATGGAAAGATGATTGGCATTTTCACCCTGCTGGGGCAACATCATCCTCAGAAAAAGGCAGGACCCCCCCGGCCGCGTTTTTGTGCCTGTAAAAGGCAAAGTGCCTGTGGGCAGCCCAAAGGGTCGCCCAAAGGGACGCCGGGGGGTGCCCACCCTCACCACGGGTGCGGAGCTGATGATGGGGAGGCTCGGGGAACATGAGAAGGGGAGGGCACAGGGACCCGCCAGGTGGGGAAGGGACAGCAACACTTTATACTGTGCTAAGGCAGCCTCAATCCCAGCCCCCCCCCGGGGCTGGGATGCCAGGGAATCTTCACACTCCCCATCAGCGTGACAGCAGAGGAAACCGAACCCTCTGGGGGAACCATCTCTTCCATCAACACCAGTAAAATGGATGAGGATGGCAGGGAAATTACACTCCGTTAGTCACAATTAGGGCCAAAACAATCAGGAGCTGTGGCTCGGGACACTCACGCTTCTCGTTGGGCTGCGGCGTGTGGAAGAGCGTCAGGGGCCTCTCGCTGCAGGAGGGAGGTTTGGAGTCCGTGCTCTTCTTGCGCGATAACAGCAGCTGCGAGTTCGACGGCGGAGTCTCTGGCACCGTGTTAAATATCTGTTAAAAATAATTAACAAGCTGTTCCTTGGCATCACCCCTCCGAAGAGAAGAGCTGCCTACCTGCCTGGTCCGCACCGCTCCGCAGAGCAGCGGCTGAGGAAGACACGCATTCCACAAGGCAACATTTTGGGTCCAATTCCCTAAATTCCACATTCTCCCCCCTGTCTGCACTCCTTGTCCCTATTCTGCACCCAAGATGCCTGTCGCAAGATGTGAAGAACCCCAATATTCCAGCTCTCTGCTGAGTTTGTGAGGGTGGGGGGTGCCCCAGCAGGTGATGACAAGAGCCCTCCGGGGAAGACAACAAGAGCCCTCCGGGGAAGACCAACCATCGTGTCCCCCCAACCCCCCCCCCCAGCCCAGCCCCAGCCCCAATACACCCCAGTCCAGGAAAGTCTTTGCCGCTTCCAGCCACAGCCATCAGAAAACTGAGTCATCACGTTTTTCTCAAGGGGATGGAATTTTAAAACTGCACTTGTTTGGTGGCGGTGGGTTTCGGTAATTTATTGTTTCTTTTCTGGAGCCCCAGGCACAGCCAACAGCTGCCTCAGGACCAGCTCTCCCGAGGGCTCCCTTTGCTAGAGCACATTAAACACCTCCTCTCCGTGGCTTTTCCTGCTCTACCTGTCCCTGCCACAGCCTGCTCCTGCCCTGCAGAAAGCCATCAGATGCCGCCTGCCAGCCAGCGGGAGCAGCCGCCAGCCCTTAATTGGTTTGTTTCATGTAACAACAACAAAATCCTCACACACACACACACACACAAACCCTCCATGCCCATTTCTACAAATAAATGCTAAAGAGCCAAGAGGCGTTAGCCAAACACTGCAATGTCACATCTCTCCCCCAAAGCACGGAGGGGCGGGTGGGAAGGGCTGTCCTCATGGCCCTGGGAGAGGAATTAATGAACCGTTTTCAATGAATCAAACACCTCGCGGCTCAGGACATCGTTCCTGAGCCTTTTTATCCATAGGGACATGCTGCCCAGGCTCGGGTCTGGCACTGGAGCACGCAGATGGGGTGAGGTGCAGGCAGTGATGGAAAATCACTGCACCTGACTCCTGCACCCCCAGGCCCTGGGAGCAGTTGACTCTGTGCAGAGCCAGGAACGCTGCGAAACCCATGGAGTCCCACTGCAGCCCTTCCTGGAGAGATCACCAAGCTCCTTCACAGGATCATAGAATCATTCAGGTTGGAAAAGACCCTTGGGATCATCGAGTCCAACCATCAACCCTACTCTACAAAGTTCTCCCCTACACCATATTCCCCAACGCCACAACGACACTTAAATACATTCAAGGATGGGGACTCAACCACCTCCCTGGGCAGCCTATTCCAGTGTCTGACCACTTTTCTGTGAAGAATTGTTTCCTAATGTCCCATCTAAACCTACCCTGTTGCAGTTTGAAGCCATTCCCTCTTGTTCTATACACCCCTGCCCGTGGCCATCCCCACCTCCAAAGTGGCTGTTCCCCATGCTCCCCATGGGACTTTGGGGACCAGAAGCTCTCCAGTCCCTTGCACAGCTGCTGCACCCCACTCCCTGCATCCCACCAACCCTCCCAGCATCCCACCAGTACCCTCCAGCCCCCAGCCCCTCACCATCACATTTCGAAGGGCTATTTGCAGCACATTGCTTACCAGGCTAAAGCATCCTGCCGCGGGAACCCCTGCTGTGTGTGCTAAATGCAGCTTCTCTGGGGCAGGATCCTCAGCACGAGGGGGCCAAAATGGGTAGCAGGGACCCCCGGCCTGCCCTGGGCTCCCTTACCCACACCCAGCACCACCACGGCCGGCTGTAACGTGCTCTCACTTTCAAATTGCTTTGCAATAGTAAATTCTGCTTGGGATGTCTAATGAAATATATAAATCAAGCAAGATAAAAGTATTGATTTATGAATTGCATTTTATGCAACGATTTCCCACAGCACAATTGAAAATAAACTTTCAGGTTTTCATTTCCTTTTTTGTTTTTTTGTACCTTTAATGAGAGAAGATATATATATATGCTCTTAAGTTACGAACTCGGTGACTAAAACCAGCCTCAGCTCACGAGGAGGTCGCATTTTTAAATGCAGCTGGAACGTTGCTGTGAGACAATTTTACTGAAAAGCTTCAGCACCTGAGATCTTGCACGCTCCAACTTACCATAATCAGCTCTGGATTGCAGTTCAAATGCCTGAGCAGCCCCAAAACCCCCCACTGCAGACAGCCTGACCCCCGCGCTCTCCGGCTGCGCTGGCAGAGGACAGAGATGCAGGGGATGCAGGGGACACCTCCCCTGCTGGGAGGGCTGGCGGGGTGCTGGGGATGGCTGCTGGGTGTAGGAAGGGTTGTTGGGGGGCTGAGAGGGCTGGTGGGGCTCTGGAGGGGCTGCTGGGGTGCTGGTGGGGTGCGAGGATGGCTACTGGGGTGTGGGGAGGGCCATTCCCACCTCCAGAGTGGCTGTTTCCCACGCTCCCCACGGGACTTTGGGGACCAGAAGCTCCCCAGCCCCTTTGCAGGCTGCTGCATCCCATTCCCTGTACCCCAGCAGCCTTCCCCAGCACCCCAACACCCCTCTCAGCACCCCAACGCCCCCTCAGCACCCCACCAGCCCTCCCCACAGAATTTCTGGCCCCAGCAGCAGTTGGTTCTGGCTGCGCAGAGCTGGGCACACAGCGAAGCCCACGGAGGGATTTATGGGGTCCCAGGGCAGCCCTTCCCGGGGAGCTCCTCACCCACAGACCAAACTGGTGCCCCAAGCCCCCTGGGGCATCTCCCCCGAGCTGCTGGCAGTGATGGGGCGCAGAGGCCGTGCGGAGGTGGAGGGAGGGCTGTGGAAAACCGCTCTCCCTCCCACCTCCCAGCGGCACAAAGCACACGGGGCTAAATTTAGCCGCTCACAGAGGAGAAAAGTCAATTAACAGCCACATCTGAAAAGGCACAACGCCGATTTTGAAGGTCTGAGGCAAGCCCCCTGGGGCATCTCCCCCGAGCTGCTGGCAGTGATGGGGCGCAGAGGCCGTGCGGAGGTGGAGGGAGGGCTGTGGAAAACCGCTCTCCCTCCCACCTCCCAGCGGCACAAAGCACACGGGGCTAAATTTAGCCGCTCACAGAGGAGAAAAGTCAATTAACAGCCACATCTGAAAAGGCACAACGCCGATTTTGAAGGTCTGAGGAGAGACCCCGAGCACTGTAAGACAAATAGCTCGCTGCAGATGTGACTGTGCCATTGTTGTGTACCAAACGGCACAGATCCCTTCGGCAGCAAAGGAAACCGGCACCACCGGCCCAAAACCTCCTTCTCCACCTCCCTCAGCTCAGACATCGCCCGCACAAAACCCCTCCTCCCCTTCACGGGGAAGTTTCTCAGGTTTGTTTCATTTTTTTAATTTAACAAGAATAGCCGAGTCGTACTCCTGACTGCGCAAACCTGTTGTGTAGCTCTCCCAGTCACAGAGCCCAATTAGCAGGGAGAGAGCGACAGTTTAATGGCTGGAGTGGGAGAGGAGCAGCCAGGAGTCATAAATCACATTTACAGCCGGTACCACGCTCGCTCCCTCGGCCCCACACAAGCTCCACACCACCTTCTCCCCACCTGAAAAATGGCAAAGACCCAGAGGCGCCTCCTCTCCAATCAGTTAAAAGGCTTTTTAAAATCCCTCTCCCACCTCTAAATGAATCACACCCAGGTGCTCCCACATCCTTTACCCTGCATGGCTTCTGGAGAGACCACAGCCCCCAGCGCCGGGGAGAGGGGAGGGATGAGGCTCTGGCTCTCTCCATGGGGGCTGGAGGAATCTCTCCCCACTGCCGGGGGTGCTGGTGGGGCTGGGGATGGTGCTCCCTCCACCGCAGCCCTCCTTCCCTCCCTGACCCCTCCTGCTTGGTGCTAATTACCCCATTGCGCCCATTTTATCACCAGGCTCACTCGAGGAACAGAGGGAACACCAAGCTGCTGTGATGTTCAAAATATCAGTTTGCGCCCATTTTATCACCAGGCTCACTCGAACAGAGGGAACACCAAGCTGCTGTGACGTTAATGGCTTCAAGCTGGAGGGGAACAGATTTAGATTGGAGATTAGAAGGGGGTTCTTTACTGTGAGGGTAGTGGAGCACTGGAACAGGTTGCCCAGGGAGGTGGTTGAGGCCCCATCCCTGGAGATATTCAAGGAGAGGCTCGACGAGGCCCTGGGCACCCTGGTCTAGTTGGGGGTGTCCCTGCTGACTGCGGGGGGGTCGGACTAGATGACCCTTGGAGGTCCCTTCCGGCCTGGGAAATTCTATGATTCTATGATTCTATGATTCTATGACGTTCAAAATATCAGCGGTGCTGTGTCTTCTACACAGGCTAAATCTGCCGACAGCATCACTAAACATTTCAGCTAATTACAGGAAAGAATAAAATGAAGACAAGGTGCTGAGGGCTTTGACTTTAGTATTAATCCTCGCCACTTCCTGAGGTTAGTGTTTGGGTCTGCAAAACTCCCTGCATAAACTGCTCTCCTACTTGTCATCAATGCTGGCTGCATTAACATTTCACCTGGTCAACCTTTTGTCTGGAGGGAACATCATCAAGACAGTAAATCAATCTCTTAATTTTGTAACACCCCAGAACAGCGGCCTTTTCCAGAGAGCTACACAAATTTAAGCTTTGGAAAAGAACATGGATGGACACCTGTGATTGTCAGATGCAATAGTATTTCAATATTACTTCTGGCTAACATTTAATTTTTAAATCAGAAGTACGGTGTTAAACAGCAATCACTGGGGTAAGCAGGCACACACGCAGCATCTGTATTTCCCTTTGCAGGGGAGGCACTCTTGGTTTGCCTGTCACGGCAGCGTCCAGAGCCATAGAAGAAAAATAATTTTATCCATTTAATTCTATAGAATCGGGATATATTTTAGAACACATTCCCTTCACTGAATTTCACTGAATTTTTAGAGTTGGAAGGGACCATAGAGATCATCTAGTCCAACTCCCCTGCTAAAGCAGGACCATCCAGAGCTTCATGTACTAGATTCACAATACATTACACAGAAATTCACAATTCACAGAAAAGGCTGAGAATTGCTGATGGATAAACCCTGTGCAGGGGCAGTTTGACAATTCCCTGGGTAGCGCCGGGCAGAGCTGGCACCTCTCGCAGGGTTCCCAGTATCCCACAGGTGAAAATCAGGGAAGACACTGGGCAACCGGCACCGGAACCTGCACCATCCTCCTCTGAAACTTGACTGGCTTCGGGATGAATGTTTTTCCCCAGGGATAACCTCAGGTGGGAGATGAGCCCAGTCTCAGGTGGGGTGACAGCAAACGCAGGCCGGTGTGTGGGGAACGCTGACTGACCCCCCCAAACCCTCCCCACTGCCCCAGCAACCAGAGAAACCTACCGAAACGGCTGGGGAAAGGATCTGCCAGCAGTTCTTCAGACCAAGAGATGTTATCACCAAGCCACCAAGCCTGGTTGAGGTTGGTTTTTTCCTTTGGTTACACAATGACAACAGTAATTTTGCCCAGAGAGGCATTCCACTTACCTGGGGGAAATACACTGGGATACCAGACAGTTGCTGATTGCCGGGAACCAGTCAAATCAATTACATTTTCCCTGCGACTGTGCTCAATCACAAACAGTGTCTGTGAGTCACTGCTGTAAAACAATATAAAGCAGCAGCAGCAGCAGCAGCGCAGGCGACTTGCATATCGCTAATCACCTTCGGCAGCTCCTGCGGGAGCCTTCAACCAGCTCGAATCAATTCAAATTAAGAAAAACACTGAAACCAAACAGTCCTAAAGAGGGAGCAGAACTGGCGCCGACTGCATTTAGGAGATTTTCCTCTCCCAAAGTTACCTCCTCCTGTCCCCCCGTGTCCCAGGATCTTCTCCCGGGAGCCCCAGAGAAGTGGGGCTGGGGGCTCACAGGCGCTTCGCTCGCAGCATCCGTGCGGGAAGCAGCAGGGAGATAAAACACACCCTGAGAGCAGGTACCCCCACCTGCAGAATTAATTGGTGACGACTATATGTAACCAACTTGCACATTCACCCTTCTGCCGGTGCTGCAAATTACTCCTAAGGAGGGGGAACCATCGGGGACCCCCCGGGGCAGGAGCTGTAATTTGGCTGGAGAGCGGAGAGGAGCCCGGCAGCCCCCCCAGACACAATCATTGCACAAATCTCTCATCGATTCCTCCGCGGATGCCGGCTGATGGAGGGCTCGGCTGGCACAGCGAGAGGCTCAGTGCAGGTGGAAAAAAAAAAATAATCAATGTCTAAAGCCCTGTTTCTGTAAGGGCCCGCGAGGGAAAGGCTCCATAAAGCACAGTGAGGGGAAGGGAGATAAAACACACTCGCAGCGACGCCGTGGTGCTCGCAGGCTGGAGGCACAGCCACAGAGCTCATCACCACCGAGAGCTGGGGAGAGGCTGTAAAGGCTTCTCTGTCCCGACAGATTCACAGAATCATACAAAGGCTCCATAAAGCACAGTGAGGGGAAGGGAGATAAAACACACTCGCAGCGACGCCGTGGTGCTCGCAGGCTGGAGGCACAGCCACAGAGCTCATCACCACCGAGAGCTGGGGAGAGGCTGTAAAGGCTTCTCTGTCCTGACAGATTCACAGAATCATAGAATCACAGAATGGTTTGGGTGGGAAGGGACCTTAAAGCCCCCCAGTGCCACCCCCTGCCCTGGGCAGGGACACCTCCCACCAGACCAGGTTGCTCCAAGCCCCCTCCAACCTGCCCTTCAACCCCTCCAGGGATGGGGCAGCCACAGCTTCTCTGGGCAACCTGTTCCAGGTTGATGACAGGGGTGGGGGTGACCATCGAGGGCTGACACGAGGATTTGTGCCCGTTCCTCCGTGCAGGAACCAGGCTTCACCCCCGGCCGCAGTTCATCACCGCTGCTCACCCGCCCCTCTGCACAGCAGCTTGTGATTAAGCCATCATTGCAACTGCAGTCCACATGGAAGAGAACAAAACAGCTCCTCCATCCTAAATAAATACCACGGCTTCTGGGGGCCTGTGGAAGCAATTTCTCCAAGAACATATGACCGTGGGCACTGTCTCCCCATCCCCTGTGGCTGCACTTTTGATGCCTCTCTTCAGCCCCACAGCGCTGCTGCCCCCACCGCAGGTACTCCATCCTAAATAAATACCACGGCTTCTAGGGGCCTGTGGAAGCAATTTCTCCAAGAACATATGACCGTGGGCACTGTCTCCCCATCCCCTGTGGCTGCACTTTTGATGCCTCTCTTCAGCCCCACAGCACTGCTGCCCCCACCACAGGTACCAACGGCTGGATTTGTGCCCGTTCCTCCGTGCAGGAACCAGGCTTCACCCCCGGCCGCAGTTCATCACCGCTGCTCACCCGCCCCTCTGCACAGCAGCTCGTGATTAAGCCATCATTGCAATTGCAGTCCACATGGAAGAGAACAAAATAGCTCCTCCATCCTAAATAAATACCACGGCTTCTAGGGGCCTGTGGAAGCAATTTCTCCAAGAACATATGACCGTGGGCACTGTCTCCCCATCCCCGGTGGCTGCACTTTTGATGCCTCTCTTCAGCCCCACAGCGCTGCTGCCCCCACCGCAGGTACCAGCCATCACCTTAACCTGCAAAAAACCTCCTATTTTCAAGACATTTACAAGCCAAACCGCAGGCTGGAGCCGCGATGCCCCAGCAGTCCCGTCCAAGGCCTTGCCTCAACTTCTTCCTTCACACCCTGAATGCACAAAGTAGTTCTTTCTTTCCAACCAAAACTATAAAGTGGAAGATCAAAAACAGGCAACTGAATTTAGATGAAAATGGCATTTTTTAGCGCTGCTGTTTGCATGCAGCCACCCCAGAGGGCTGGCGGGGGGGACAGTCACCACTGTGGCCCCTCCGTGTCGCTCACAGACACCAGCATCCGTACGGCGACAGACACAAACACTGGTAATTTAGGAGATCAATGCTGGGGGTAAAGCCAGGGCTTGGATAAACAGGGATTTAGTCAGAGAAGCAGCCAGCCTTGGCCTGCATCTCACACCAGTTGCCTTTAGTCCTCATCTCTCTTGAAACTAAGGACAAGTTCCTACGAAACAGTGGAAAGGGGAAAGAAAGGGGATTTCTGTAACAGAGACATGGACACGCCGACTCACGCTGAGATGACCATAAAAGAAGGTGGTTACCAGCAGCACTGGTTACACAGCTACAGCCCAAAACCCAACGCTTTTGGAGCCTCTACGCCACATCCCAAGTCCTGGCCATCGCTGGTAGGAACACCTGGGAGGTACCAGCTCTACACCAAATCCCACGTCCCGGCCATCACTGCTGAGAAGACCTGGGAGGTACCAGCTGTGCCTCCCCAGCACAACCCACCCTCTGCAGCAAAGCCAGGGGGAGGGTGGGGGGCCCTGGGAGCGGGGGCTGCAGTTTGCAGAGAGACAAATTCACTTTCATAAATTAATTGCACTGAAAGAAGCAAGTGAAGCCATTACCTTCTCATGGTTTTCTATTAAAATTTCAATCACAATGTTCTGAAATTTGATGTCCATAATGGCAGCGACTGTTTCCTCTTGAGGTCGAAGCAGCGTTGGCCCAAATACCACACCCAGATTAGCAACAGTCATCAGGTTCTGCTTGTGATTATCTGCAACTCTGGGAAAAAAAAAAAAAAAAAAAAAAGAAAAAGAAAAGAAAAAAAAAAAGTAGGTGATAGAACTAATGGGCATGGAAACCCCCTCCCTGCCTCAGGCTGGCACAAACCTTACAACGATGTTTACATTTTTTACACTCCTGGTGAGCTCCTTGAAGGCTCAGCCATGTGGAAAAGTACAAATTTAACCATTGTGTTTCTGGGCACCTCTCAGCCCCAGTGAATTGACTAATCCCACAAAACCCCGGCACTACGCCGGCCACCGAGGCTCATGTTGCAAACCACTCCCAGGAAAACATCTTGAATCATTAATGCTTAAAGCCCTTCTAAAAACAAATTGTTGGACCTCTGACACACGCTGCTCTCCAGCTGAATGAGTGACCTAATATGTTCCAAAATCCAATTCCTTCTCGCCCATTTAAGCTTTTGCCTGCACCAGAGGTCAGCCCCCTCCAGCCCGACCAAAACAGGCTGGCAGGAGAAGATGGGGCTTTGTCCTTTCTCCACCCCGAGGAACCCTCCCGACAGGGACACCCGCTCTCCCGGGGACCCTCCAATGCTCCATCCAGCCTTCCTCCCTGTCATCTCCAGCTATTTTTATGTTCACAAGTATCTCAGCCCAGCCGGAGCGGATCAGTTGAGCAAAGTGCATCAGCTGGTGCTGAGGCGCTGGCACCAACGTGCATTTGGAGGGGTCCCTTTGGAGTAGCTTCAGTCTGGTCCCCAGTTCCAGTGGTGGGAAGCATCAGGAGCCCTCCTGGGTCATGTCCTGTGCCCCAGGCTGGCCCCAAGGGCAGGGTGATGCGGGGCACGCAGCCCGAAGGTCCCAGGGACGTGTCCCACCACGAGCGTTGGGGGACACAGGAGCTTGGCTGCTCCGTGGCAAACGCCCGGTTGAGGCACAGACCAACCTCACCGGGCACCGCCGGCCCCGGCTGGAGCCACACAACCAGACATAACGCAAGGACACGTGCGTGGGTGACGCAAGGAGGACCTGTGGTGGGAGCCCCACAGCCAGGTCTCCGCAGCAGCTCGCTCTTGTGGTTTTCTCCTGACCTCTTCAACCAGGAAACTCGGTGACTCCAGGCAGCTCAATCACACAGTTCCAGCCTAAGGGGGGTTTGAAGTGGCTTTTCCCTTTGCTTTCTCTCCTGTTTTCCCTGGACAGACGCACAAAGCGAGGCTGAGCCTCGGATCTTGCTGGATTGTCCCAAAAAGTTATTACTGTGAGCTTTTATTACTGTCTCCGGGCCAAGACACCACAGCACTCATTTATGTGCACACTCAGCTTATTTCAGCAGAGGGTAAGCTAGGGCCTGCCTTATATGAAAAGATGCTTTCCATCCTTTTTCATCCGAATCTCACCGAATCCAGCAAAGAACTCTTCATTCCTCATCCCTGTACAGGGCTCCTCATACAGCAGAAGAGGACCCCATCACCACGGGGTGCTCAGGACCTCGGGACTGCTGCCTTAGCTCCCCACAAGGGCAATTTCAGCCCAATTTCCATCCAGGCAAGAAGTCTGGATACATGTTATGGATCCACAACACTGGGGAACGTCATGTCCCTGGAGAGTATCACAGGATGGTTTGGGTGGGAAGGGACCTTAAAGCCCATCCATTTCCAACCCCCCTGCCCTGGGCAGGGACACCTCCCACCAGACCTGGTTGCTCCAAGCCCCCCCAACCTGGCCTTGAACCCCTCCAGGGATGGAGCATATAACAAAATGCAGAGCCATCACCAAGTCTGGGCTTGGGTAAACAGCTTCAAAGGTTGAGGAGATCCTGGCAACAGTCCCTCGGGAGCTCAGCAGTACCTCCCTCTTCCCCGTAACTTCTCCCACTGTCAGGAACCTCTGAATATTTTATCACGAGTGTCAGTAGAGAGAAAGGCAGAGAAAGTCCAATAGGAATAAAATTCTTACTTAGGAAAAAACCTACTTCCTTACAGGAAAAACCCTCCTACTTCTCCAGGGATTCAAACCTCCCCCCTTCCAGCACACCTCCCTGGCAAGACATCTCCAAATGCCAGCGACCCTTTTACATGGCAACATCCACATTTCAGCCACACGTTCACATGCTCCTGTTTGCATTTTGAAAAATGCAGCTGTAATTCAAATAGTTTTGAAAAGTGCTAATAAAATAATAATTTTAATGATCTTCTGTGGTTGGTAAAACAATGTTCATTTATAAAAAAAACAACCCAATTGATCTAAGTCTTACAAAATTAGGTCCCTCCATTTCTCATTACCATTACCATGTAATGCATCACTCTAATAAATTGCATTGTCATTGACTCATTACGGCTCGGCAGCTGCGCACGGTCCTGTTAATTATTTCAGACTGAACTATTAATGACTTCCCACCCAGGACCGGGTCCTGCCGCACCAGCCGCGGCCCTGGCTCTGCCCGAGGATTGTCCCCGTGGCCCAGACCCTGGTGCTGGCCCTCGTCCCTATCCCATGGTCGGCACCAAACCCCTCTGGAGGGTGTTGGCTTTGAGCCTGTCAAGTGCAGGGCTGTTTTGGGGCTGAGCAGCTCTGGTGGCACACGAGCTCCTGGTCCCCACCCCGGGACTCTCCCAGCAGCCGCCGTCCCAAGGCTCGGCCACCAAAGTGATGCTACACAACATGATTCACCTCTCGCATCCTTCAAATTCCACGTCCATTATCCACATGATAATTTACTACAAATTATACCTCTTCATCATCCTTTGTACTAGAAAATAACGCCGCTGTTTCAAAAGATGGGGTGTTCTCATCCCAAAGTGTGCTTAATGTCGGTGCTTTTCGGCAGGCGCTGTTAGTGCCGTTCCTGAGCTGCCCTTTAGAAGGTTTCCAAGTACTTGCTGCATTTTCCTTTTAACCCGCTGCTTCTTTCTGGGCCCCGGTGCACTCTGAAAGCAATTGCACTGATATTAATTTAGACGGGTCCTTTTTCAGCTCTCTGCTCCATCCACGCTCTGCAGAAGCCACGTCCAGCACAAGCGGGAGGTGGAAACCAAGAAGTGATGGAGGAACACGCAGAGCAACCTCTTAACTCCTGCTTGGTGCTCGCTACGTGCCGGTACCTCAATTTTTGGACTCGGGGCTCTTCCTCCTCCTCTCGACACACATGGTTCCCCCGTGTCTCCGGGATCAGCAGGAGATGGGCAGTGTGGGATGGGGAGGGGGAATATCTGCCGTGCATCACCAACAAGGAAAGGGACTCGGTTCTGGGGAGACCTGACCCACTCAGTGCAAGCCCAAGAGGCACCTTGGCCACCACAAGCCCCCGGCCAAAGGAGCTGGGGCCCCAGCCCTGCCACCCGTGGGGACACCCATGGGACTGCTGTCCCCACCAGCTGGGTTTCCTGGGGGAGTCCACTCGCTTTACATTCACCTTCGGACAAACAAAGGAGAATGGGAGCGGAGTAAATCCATGTTGTGTGTTAAATTAGATTACGCCCGGGTTGCTGGGATACTGTATAATCACCGGCATGACCAAACATAATTTAATACACGGTAATTGCTAGTCAAGCTTCAGTGCAGAGAAAGCCGAGAGGAACAGTAAATATTTCTGTGTTGCACGGGCTTGTGATCAGGATGGTGCAAGGGAGGAGGAACACAGTGGGGCTGGGGGGAGCACTGCCAACCCCCTCCTCTCCTACAGACAGGATTTAACTTCCTCCAGCCTGGTCAACAGCTCCTATTTATTTTCATTGGGATCCAATTAAAGATCTCACTTGCTTCTCCAGCGACCCACAGGGAAAGTTGTATTGGGGGAGCAGCAGAGAACCTGGGGTGCAGCACAGGGGAGCTGCCCACTCCTCCCAGTAACCCCCAGTTACTCCTCCTGAGCCCCCACCAGCTCAGATGCTGGCACCGCAGAGAGCCAAGGGCGACAAAAAATGTACAAACCTGAGAATTCTGGGCTGTGAAGTGGCATCAGTGGGACCATTGCATACTGGTAGACGCGGTTCTGCTGGTACCTGGGTGGGTGCTGGGCACTGGTGGCCACACACCAGGCAGCAATGGCATCGCTGGGGTGCCATGGGGGCACCTGGCTCTGCTCCCCACAGGACGCTTGCTTTCCGTGGCTGGAATTACTCTGGGAATGCATTTTATATCTAAAATACACGTCTCTAAGCCTCAGCCAAAGAGCGCTGTTACTAGTTCAAATATCTCCCCCAATTGAGAAAAATCTCTGAGAAAACAAACATCTGAAAGGGAACAAAAGGCAAAGTCTGGAGTGTTTCTATTTCCATGCCGGGGACAAACCTTTGAAAACAAAGTGCTTGTTCTGGCTGGCCTAACAAGACCTTATAGGATGGGAAATGATGCAGCTAATTCATACTGCCACAGGTAAAAATACATTTCACGTCTGCTGCCACCATTAGAGCTTCTCTTTAACATGAAAAGCCCATCAGGCGGACGGCCAGCGATCCCCAAAATTATTGAGGTGGCTCTGGGTGGTTTGTTGCAAAAGAAACACTGGGGTTTGTCTCCGGACATGAACGGAAGACAGAAATCACGGCGACTGCAGACAGCCCGGGGGGCAACAGGGGTGTCCGTGGATCCCACCCATCGGGGTGTGGAATTTTGGGGCTCAGGAAGCCCCGCCCCCCTGCTCCCCCCTTTCCCAGCCATTGAGAGCGCTGTGCCGGGGGAGCAGGCGGCTGCTGGCACACACAATCGGTGGCATTTATCGGGTGAAATCTAATGAGTTCTGGGAAATGTTCCTGGGCCCATTCAAGTCATCCCTGCGCATTATTGAGCTTAATTGGGCTGCAGCTGATGAGCGTGTAGGTGGAGGGCCGGGAGAGGGCCAGGCTGTGGCTGCTCCATGTCACCCCTCTCCCGGGGGCCGGAGGAGCCGTGTCCCGGACAGAGCATCCCTGTGGCTCCCCGGGGATGGCTCAAACCCCCGGCGGGATCCCTCGGGAACGCCGTCCCACAGCTGGCACCGCAGCAGGGGTTGGGCTGAGGGCTCACTGTACAAGGCAGGGCTTGTGAAACCCATCC